TCTGTAGTCCTATGTAAGAAAGCCTTCATGCCGTATGTAAAATTTGGATTGTGTCTGAGAGGAGTTACATTGTTACGCTTTCCACAACTACAAAGTTGTTTATCCTGTTGGGGATCTTATCAATGCTTATAAATATCTAAAGGGTGAGTGTCAAGAGGATAGGGCCAGGCTTTTTTCGGTGGTGCCCAGCAACAAAAAAGGGAGCAACGGGGACAAAGTGGGACACTTTGTGTTTCATCTGAACATGGGAAAAAAATTCTTTATTTTGAAGGTGGCAGAGCACTGAAACTGGCTTCCCAGAGAGTTTCCTTCTCTGGAGAGGTTCAAAACCCACCTGGATGCAATCCTGGCCATGGTCACCCTTCTTTAGCAGGAGGGTTGGACAACATGATTCCCAGAGGCACCTTTCAAATCCTCACATTCTGTGACTCTGTTTTTAAGTGAGACAAAAATGCCACTGTTATAGTACTTTGGGATGGACTGAATATTGCATGATATAGTCCATTTCTGTAGCACTAGACAACATCAGCTCATGTTCTCTACTGAGTGGTAGCCTTCCTTCTGAAGTTTTCAGTGAAAATTCTATAACCGGTTTATTTTTATGACATCTTTCAGACTGTTTGTATTCTTTGTATATGCACACATACATATGTGCATATATTTGCACATACCTGCTTCCCAAGGACTTTTTTCATAGTTAAGAAAAGCATGCTCATTATCCCAGAAGAATTGTATTTCTATCTCTTTCATTATGCAAATACACTGAAAAACTGATTGAAGGATTAAAAAGATTTCTTTTTTTGATGTGGAGAGTATCTCATGGTTTAAGGTGTTCTGAAGAATCCAGTGCAGTTTTCTGCCAGACAAACCTTTTCACATTTTTATGGAAATGACTTGGTAAAAACTGGGCATCAAAAAAAAGATGAGTTTGAGGAGGTGCACCTCAGCCTTTCTAACTCTCCTCCCTCCATTTATTAAATGAGTATAAAAGTACTTCCTGGCCTCAGTGGTGTTCTGGCTCCAGTATAATGATTGTGCAGTAACAGGACAGTGTAGAAATGAAGACCCTGCAAGAACACTGAAAATAGGTCATAAAAATTTCCAATATTTCTGAAAATCTATTGCCTATCTCTTCATGGTTTTGTTTCTGCCCATGAAACACAAGGAGAGATGACCTACTCTATGCACAGCAGTTTCACACTCCTTTTCAAACAGGCAGGATATATCTGCCTTGGGGGTGCTAGGACATGGGATTCATCTCATTACCAATGCCTAATGCAATCAGTAGACAACTTGCTGCTTTAATTTCTGAGGACTTATTCTTATAGTTATGGTTGTAGTTAAGCTTATCATGTGATCATTTAGAAAAAAAGCTGAATAGATGATTTTCCTCTAGTATATCTACCCATTGGCAATGAGTAGTTAGGATTAAAAGCTCCATCTAGCCCAAGGCTATAATGAATATTCAGGAAAAAAGATTCTGTACTGTGCTTAGGGAAGTAAAAAGACTACCCTTGTAACATTCAAATCTCCTGTGCCTTTGGAATAAACAAGCAATATTTGATTAAGAACAGGAAGACAGAAGACACACTGATGTACATCTCATACCAAAAGAGACTTTGTATGGTATTAAATTACCAACAGATTCCTGTAGGTAGAGTGCATGAATCAATATTATGTTTTAGCTGATGGTAACTTCACCAGGCTTTTATTTAAATGGTGTTTGTTTAAAAAAAAAGAAAAAAATACAGCAGATAAATGAAGTGTGCTACCAACGGATATTACAGTCCATTGAAGCATGTGTTCATTCTACTGGATTGACACACAGAGCAAAATTATGCTACACGTTCTGTAACAATCACACTGCATCATCATTAATGAGAGAACCAACAAACCTATTTATGTGTAATAGAAGATAATTTATAGCAACATGGTAGACTTTGAACCAAAAGCATTTAAATCCTGTACATTAACAGAGTAATTAACAGTCCAGCTATTTCTAGAGCCCGTAATATTTTACATATCAAGCCATTTAGAAAATATTTCTTAGCTATGCAGGTTTCATCAACCACTTTATCAACAGTAAAAGCTGCAGGCACTTTCATAAACTTGGATTGGGAAAAAAATTATATTTATGTTGTATTAGCTGTGACAGGTATTTTTTGTGATGTGATTTGTGGGCCTCAAGATTCTTTTATAAATTATATGCTCATCTTTGAATGTTTTATAAATCCAATCTCTGCTAAGAATCAGTAAATGTAATTTGTAAATTGGAGTCAATCTTTCATAAATCCAAGTAGATGAGAGGCCCTGAATTGGCAAAATTAATTAGGCAAAGTGAAGCCTGTACATAGGCACTTTAAAACTAGTTTTTGGTAGCAGGTTACTCACCTTGTTAAATTTGCACCCGAGTTTAAAACTTTGCTGAATATGATAACTTAATATTTTTAGAAATCTTAATCATCTTAACTGCCTTTCATATTGGGATCATTTCTTAGTCAATAATTGTACTTTGAAGTGAATTCTCTATTTCTAATCACTTAAATTTTTCTCAAAAGCTGTGTTCATGTGTGACCTCTGCAAATTATTCTCAGCCCAAAGACAAACTTCTATGGAGAGATTGTACACCAACCAATGAAATTCCACTGAATTGTATAAATTTAGTTAATTCATTTCATATGAAAATTAGCTGTCCAGTGACATTAATATCTTCTGTTTTCAACCATCTACTGACTTATGATGCATTTTCCCAAGTCTTTTGTACAAGTATAATAGGAAATAAGGAATTTTGTGAATGAATTAAAACTTTTTCTTAGTGGTCTAAAGAAGAAAATGTGATATTGCACATAAAACCAGGTGGGGATGTTATTCCTCTTTGAGACTATGTTAGTTGTCTGTAGACCATACAAGCTCAGGTGCTTGCATGCAGTGACTTAATGGCATCAAAATCTGTCTGCCAGTGGGGAAGCTCAAGGATGTAGTGCCTGTGGCCTCTGGACACTTGCAATGTCACTACAGAGAGGACTGGCTCAGGTGGCTCCTGGCCACTGCACCAGGAGGAATCTGAGCAGGAAGGGGCTGGAGGCAGAGAGGGAGGGTGGATCAACTGGATGCTTTAGTACAGCTCCACTGTAGGATACTAAAAAAGGAAGCCTCAAGTACTGTGGTATATGTATGTGTATGTTTTGGGGTGGCACAAGGTTGTAAAGAGTAAGTTGTTTTTTTGGGGGTTTTTTTGTTTGCTTGTTTGTTTGTTTGTTTATAAAGTATCCAGTCTTACCTTTTTGTGATATTTATTTAATGAGAAATGAATTGAAGAAAAGATTACGAGGGAGGAATCAGCTTTTAAAATACATGTTTCAATCCAAAATTGAGAAATTTAATGGATTTTTTTTTTTTTTTTTTTTTTTTTTTTATCAAATTCAGCACCTTTCCAATGCCTATCAATGACTCTCTTTCTAGGAAGCAAAGTACTGTGTTAACTTTTTAAATTTTTTTTCTGTCTCTTCACTTTGTTTTTTTTCCTATTTTTTCCTTGGACTATGAAGTGGAGTAAAACCAAAGATTTCACTTCCTTCACTTGAGTTTTCCAAACGATTTTCCTATTAAATTACCTGTCATTTTAATGGTATCAAAAATAGGCAGGTGTCTGAGACTCACAGAAGTGAGCCTTTCCAAAGGCCCTTTGGTCTAAGCATGTGTTGTGCAATCTGATATTTAAACTGTTTACTAGCCTGAGAAATTGAAGACCATTCCACTGCATTCTTTGCACTAATCTTGGTGTGGGAGAAGCAGAACTGATGGAAAATGAAGGTGTTTGATTATTTTGGGGAGGTGGAAATGTCAAATTATTATTAAGACAAATAAGTTAAATGGTCTAAAGGGGATATTTCCTGCATATTCACTAAACTGACAACCTTGGTGTCCACTGGATTGTTTTAAACTAAACTTTATCATATTTTCAATTAATACATAGTTATTATATTTTACATAGTTCAATTAATAAATGAGTTTTTACGCTATCCAGATGGAAGAAAATTATTCATATATGACAGACCTAATTACTAGAGAGATTGATAAAGATGTAGTAAATTCTAAATAATTACCAATTAGCCTACCCATGGATTATTCTTGTACTAAATCTTGTAATAGCACTATTCAGTTTTTAACCAGGTTACACATCATGTTCTATATGCATCATTATTGCAAATTTTAAGATATTAGCTGAAGAGCATTATCAATAGCCAACAGAATAAAAACAACCTATACCCAAAGAGTTCTATTGAACAGTAGCCATTATATGTGCCAGATGCAGAGTGTTAGTGCCACTGAGCTATTTTCAGTGGAAAGGATAGATGATTACTGTCAACATGAGGTGTATTCCAGAAGGGAAGTAAATGCCTGGAAATCAGGAAAAGCCTACATGAAGATTTTAATTTCTGGCTTTAACAGAGAAGATTTTGATCTTTCGTTTACACTATGGCCATCTCAAGTTATTCTCTGAAGTCAGAGGAGAGTTCAAAACTGCTGAACTGCATTCTGATAGCCCTGCATCCTCAAGTCATCCTTCTGATCAAGGCATGATCAGCCAATGATTCAGGTTCACATTATTTTATAGGATACTGGCTATTTTGAATATACCTTACATACAGTCATTAAAACTGAAAAGTAATTTTAAAAATAATTGAGTAGAGAATGTCTCTGTCATCCACAATTATATTTTCCCCTCTCTGGGAAGGGAGCATTTTGTGCTATCTTTTTCTCTGGGCAATAAAAAGCACAAATTTTCCTTTTTTTGTGAACTAACCTTTCTGTAATGGATTTTCAGTTACTCGATGTGTCTGAAATAAGTTAACTAATGAGACAAGGTTCAGTTCTGGTGTGTAATTTCACAAAAATGCAGCATAGCCACTTATAACAAAGTTTTCTATTTCCTTGATATACCTTTTGTTCATATTACTTTTAATTATGTCCTATATTTATCTGACCTATTTGAACAGGATCCAGAGCTGGTACGGAACATCTGTCGCTGGGTTAGACAAGCTGTTCAGATTCCTTTCTTTGCCAAGCTGACCCCAAATGTCACTGATATTGTGAATATTGCGATGGCTGCACAGGAAGGTAACCGACTCCAGTGCACAAGCTGTGCAGATTTGCTAATTTTCTGGATGGGCTTAGATAGGGGACTTGCTGGAATAGTAACAAGTGACAACAGAAACTAATATGAAAATAGTTTATCTGATGTATTTAGAATAAGCAGAGTGATTTTGCCCACAGTTCTAGAATATAACAATATATGAAGAGAACTATTTTAGATTGTTAACAATAAATCACGTGTTTGTGTCTGTATGCTTCTATTTCTGTCATATTTATATGCCTACCATAACTCAGTAAATTCCTCTATTCTTACCTTTAATAGTGAAATTGGTGTGTTTGAAAATAGAAATACATCATTGGAAGGTGTATTTTTTTTTTCTTTTCTTAGATCTTAAATTACAGCGTGGCAGGAAATTAAGTTTGGAAGCAGGTGTATTAATCCATCACTTAGAATCATGATCATTGTTTCTCTGTTGCATTGTTCATTTCGTCTTGCTCCTCACAAGCTTGGAGGAGGTGATCCCTGTGCTGGGGCACCTCTGGGCGTTGAGCAACCAGTGTAGCAGGTTCTGTCCCACACAGCTGAAGGGCAGAGATCTGCCTGTCAGCCCCAGTGTTTTCCACAGGCTGTCTTGTAGCCCTACAGCTCTTTCAGTTGATACAGCCTGCCTTGAAGCTAGTGTAATTTGCCAGCCCAGGGTTGGTCTTAAGGACCCTTCTGCACATCCCCTTACAGTTTGTTGCTTTCTGTCTTCAGCTGTTTATTTGAATTTCTAGTTATTTCACAGTTTCACAATTTTTCTGTTGTATTTTTTCCTCTCTTGTTCTTATACACATGATTTAACAAAAAGTGACTGACCTTTTCTTTCACAGGTGGCGCAGATGGTGTTACAGCCACCAACACTGTGTCAGGACTGATGGGACTGAAAGCAGACAGCACACCTTGGCCAGCAGTTGGTAGAGAACTGAGGACCACATATGGTGGGATGTCAGGTAGGTGTTGCCCTTTTTGATGCATGGTACTTCCTCAGAGGCTTTCAAAACATCAGGAGGTCCTTGTAGCGGGCTAGAATATCATGTCTGCAGTTGCACCGAGTCCTTAAAGCTCACTGCTGGTCAATGTTTCTAATAGTCATGACAGATGGAACAGATTAAGTGTGAAGGCTCTTGGGTTGCCCTTTCCTTAATGGTAAAGTGCTGCATCAGAATACTGTGATAGGGTCACTGGAGAGGGAAGGAAATCTCTTCTCTCGTGACCCTCGCTTTTCCTCAAATTTTTCATTCTGTCACAATTGTCAGGCCCCACGTTAGACAGAGGCTAATGAAAGGGCATCGCAAGGGGAAATATCAACAATCCAAATGCGGTGTATATTTCATAGCCCGAACTCCAGCCTTTCTCCCTCCTTCCCACTGAGTGCACCTCTTCCAAAGATGTTATTTCCTCTTCTTCCCACTGTGGTAAAAATGATAGACTGTGTTAGGCAAATACATGCATATTTTTGTAGCCTATTCCTTGAGATATACTAGAGTATCTTGTGTAGGCCATATTTTCAAGTCCTACTTCACAGTTTAATTTTAAAACCAGCAGCAAAACTTCTACACTCCAGGTCAGTGCCTGTGCACACTAATGTATTAATCTGTTGACCTCGTGTACTCTGTTGCTGTGACAACACGAACTTGGCTCTGCAAAGACAATGCTGTGAGCTTCTTGACTTTACTGTTATGGAGATTAGTCTCCTTGGTGATAGAGGTAGCAGTAAATATACATAACAGAATAGCATCCTCCTGATTGAGTCAAACACTGTTTCATTGGACCCGCCTCCTACCTTACTCCAAAAACGTAATCAGAGGGCACCAGACAGGCAAAAAAATGCTTTATTTATGTGGCTGGTGTTATCGTTAGAAAACCATAAGAAATGGAGCAAAAGGTAACTTTCAAACAAACTTTAATTCAGACGAGTGTATTCAGTGGAAAATAGCTTTATTGCCTTAGATAACTACATGGAATTTGGAATTTTTAGGAGAATTCTAAAAAGAAAGGAAGAGATAACAATCAGAACAAAAAAAAAAAACAACACATTATGCCTACTGCATAATGATTATTTCACAGTGACAGCCCAGTAAGATGTTATTTTATAATATTATGCAAAATGTGAGGAAGAGGGGAACAAGAAGAGAACAGCTACAGCCCATTTCAATTTCTCGAGCCTGCCATGTTGACAGGAAAAGAATAAAGGAGGTCACAGTGGGTGCTGTGCATTAAAAATTAATAAAAGAACTATTGCAGTAGTATTTTATATAAGTAACACCATTCACATTTTCTCATTTAAGTTGCAATTTCTGAATATTCCTTCCTACCATAAGTCTGTCTAATAAAATCTATAAACTGCCTGCATTGTGAGAAGTGTGTCTCTTATGTCACAAATTCAAGACATGTATGTAGCATAACTTACAGTGGCACCTGAATGCTCAGCAATAAGGGAGGTCATACTAGCATTTCTGTAGTTTATAATTCTATGATAAGTGAGACCTGAGGAAAAAAGTTCTTTATTTTATTTTTATATATATATGTATGTGTAAATATAAAAATGTGGGGTTTTTTTCATCCTGTAGTTTTATATCAGTGGAGACAGAAAATGTTATTTTAGGATGCACTATTACCTATGACGCAAATCTCGTTATTTAAAAAAAAATATGAAAATCACTGGAAGTGCTGTCAATTTATTATGTTTTGAAAGAGCATCTTGTTACAGACAAATATATAAAGGTTTCTTGCTGATAATTGCCATCCCTATGTCTCAGTCCCACAACTCGTTGCACAAAAGAAAGCCACAGAGCCAATAACATTAATAGGCTCTGCAACACCTTACAATACAGCAATCAGGGTATAGCAGTAACCAAATTTACAAAAGCAGGGAAGCAATCAAGAGAGGTAGTATGCTTACAAGAAGACAAAAACTGGAAGAGCCTGTTGTCTTGTCAGAACAAGGGGCAGGTTGGCCATACTTCTAAGGTCTGTTCCTGGCCATGCCAGGGTTGAGCTGGATGGCCTGCAGCCAGACACTTGACCTTTTCGTGCTTTATTTCTCCTGTCTGTGAAATGGCAGTATCACCACTTACATGCCTACAGGCTTGTTGGGAAGTACTCTGTGGTCCTGGCATGAAAGTTGCTTCATAGTGTAAAGTATTGGTTTTCTACTTTAATGTGCTTCAACTTCTTGTCTATTTTATTATCAGTAAGTTTTTGTTGATTTTTTTTTTTTTAATTCCTCTCAAGAGCAAATTTTATGAAAGCAATAAGTCTGGTCCATTTTCTGTCTGTTTTACAAAGGCTCAGCTGGTTTATCATAGAATAGTTTGAATTGGAAGGGACCTTAATGATTGTCTAGTTCCAAGCCCCCTGCCATGGGCAGGGACATCTCTCACTAGGCCAGGTTGCTCAAAGTCCCTTCAAATACAGTCTTGAATATCTCCAGTGATAGAGCATCCACAACCTCCCTGGGCAACCTGTTCCAGTGTCTTATCACCCTCACAGTGAAGAGTTTCTTCCTAATTTCTAATCTAAATCTACCCTCTTTCACTTTGAAGCTATTACCCCATGTCCTATCATTCCAAGCCCTTGTAAAAAGTCCCTCCCTATCTTTCTTGTAGGCCGCCTTCATATATGGGAAGGCTTCGATAAAGTCTCCCTGGAGCCTTCACTTCTCCAGGCTGAACAACGTGATCTCTCTCAGCCTGTCCTTGTAGGAGAGGTGTTCCAGCCCTCTGATCACCTTCATGGTCTTTCTCTGGACCTGCTCCAACAGGCCCATGTCCTTCTTGTGTTGAGGACTCCAGAGCTGGGTGCAGTACCCAAGGTGGGGTCTCGCGAGAGTGGAGCAGAGGGGGAGAATCACCTCCCTTGACCTGCTGGCCACACTTCTTTTGATACACCCCAGTGGGGGTCTTTAAGGCCAGGCTGGATGAGGCTCTAGACAGCCTGATCTAGTGTGAGGTGTCCCTGCTCGTGGCAGAGGGGTTGGAACTGGTTGATCCTTGTGGTCCCTTCCAACCCTGACAGATTCTGATCTGTTTTAGTAGAGGACTTTAGAGCCCTAAAGGCTCAATGGTTGGACTTGGTGATCTTAAAGGTCTCTTCCAACCTAAAGGATTCTATGATTCTATGATAGGATAGGTTTGGCTTTTTTGGGCTGCACTTGCACATTGCTGGTTCATGTTGAGCTTTTCATTAACCAGGTCTTTCTGCTCTGGGCTGCTCTCAATCCACTCATTGCCCAGCCTGTATTTGTGCTTGGGACTGCCCTGACCCAGGTGCAGGACCTTCCACTTGGCCTTGGTGAAATTCATGAGCTTGGCATGGACTCACCCCTCAAGCTTATCACAGTCCTTCTAAATAGCTTCCCTTCCATCCAGCTTGTCAACCACACTACACAGCTTGGTGTCATCTGCAGACTTGCTGAGGGTGCACTCAATTCCACTGCCCATGTCATTGACAAAGATGTTGAGCAGCACCAGTTCACGTACCACTCCCTGAGGAACACCATTCATGGTCTCCAGTGCACAAACCTAGAGGAGGTAGACTACGTAGCCAGGCTCTGTCTTGTTTTCTGCATTTCTTCCAGTTCCACAGTTTTTAGTTGTTTTCTGGCCTAGAAATTAGGCGCCCTTGGCACAGAGGTACACTAAGTGCAGCAGGAGCCTCTGTCCCATGGGTTGTAGTGCTCATAGTACTGCATGACCATGAGTGGGGTTTTGAACTGGCCTCCAGCCCTGCTGGTGTCTCAGTGCAGAGACTCCTCAGTCAGGTATGCTGGTGAGGTCTGGATGCACGTAGGCTCAAAGCTAATGATCCTCAGCATCACTCAGCCAGTCAACCATTACTCACAATAGATTATTTCTGGAGTTCTGTATTAAGCTCAATTTTAGATCAGTCTGAGCTTGCTTCATACATAAAAATAGTAATTAGAAAAGTTAATTAACAGCATTTCCAGATCTTGAGATGTTCTGAGAACAGATTTATGTTTCTGGTTTTTTAAAACATTTAAAAAAAAAAAATCTTTCAAAGAAGGAGAAACTTAATGAGATTACTTTAAAACCCCCATTTAGTTTTGAGTTGTCACAGTCAGTGTTTTCTTCCCAGCCAGTGCTCAGGCAGTGACCTTCCTGTTTTGATCTAATTTGATCGGCTGAAAATTGCTAAGCTGTAAGAGGCATCGCTGTTTCCTCCTTCCTACGCTCCTGTTTGTTGGGTGGTTTTGACAGGGAAGGATCCCAGTATCCCAGGTGCATGTTTGACCACTAGACTGTAGGATTAGCCTCTCTTTTCTTTGCTTCCCTCCAAATATTGAATTATTAATACAAAGTGAAACAGCTCTCACAGGATACACAGTCATGCTAGTGCAGCCTGCTGACCTGCACACAAGCCTGACTGGGGGGAGAGACAGGTTTAAATCCCAGATGTGAGCCTGGGTCCCAGCTCGGTACCCAGGCTTCCAAGTTTACCTTCCCACTATTGAGCACTGTAAAATCTCTCTGGTTTTTCTTCATCTTCCACCTGTATCCTGATGCCAAAATATATTTGCAGGAAAAAAAATCACTTTAATTTTGACAACTTGTTTTTTTCTAAAGAAAATTTATTTCTAATTGACACCATATAGCCTCAGCTGAGCCTGGGGGATAAGGTAGTCCTATGGATTTCTGTGCACCCATTACATGCAAAGACACTGTGCTTAGAGGATCCTAGTCCTCATCTATTTTCTGTAGGTTTCCAGGAACTGCCCAATACTCAAAATGTGGAAATGTCCTAATGGAGCCTTCAAAATATGGTTAGGGAAATAAGACTTTACAATGAAATGAAAATAGTAAAATTAAGATACAGCTGCCCAAAGTCTAAACTATCATATGTTTTTGCAGGATTAGAGACATAGTTTGATTTCCATTAAGGAGCTTTTAGAATTCATTGAGCAGTATTTCAGGTTTGAAAATATAAAATA